TTTTTATTTTTTATATAAATTAATTATAAAAGAATATAATTGATACATTTTTTAGACAAACCTAATTATAAAATAACAACAAATATGGGCCAGTCGTCCCGAACCAAGCCTCGTGTTTTACTATCAAATCCGTGAACATTCTAGAAACGACCTACCGGGTCAAGTGGTTCTATGACTGGCCTTTGTAGCACGCACCTGCCTCTGCTGGAGGTTCGACTCCTGGAGGCAGCATCCCGTTCCCTTTTCCCCAACCTTAGCAATAGGATTGTAATTGCCTTGTATCAAAAAAGAAAAAAAAAAAAAGAAGAAAAAATCCTAAACTTGTATCAAAAAAAAAAAAAGTCCAAACTTTTGTAACAACAAATTCCTGGAAATCCGGATAGGCTTTCAAGTGGGCCCATATGTTAAAAATAATTAAGGCATAATTTTTTTATACTATTTTTTATATAATTTTTTATTTTATTTAAATTATTAATTTTTTTATTTATTTAAATTTTAAAATATTAAATATAATTTTTTATATTATTATATTTAAAAATTATATAAAATTATTATATAAAAAAATTATCTTTATATCGTCATTTATCTTCCATAGGGCGATTAAGCCTAAGAGTTTTAGATTCATAGGTTGCAAATTCGTCTCCGCCTGTCACTTCAAATCATCCCGTCTTCCCCTGTAATTTCCCTGGAGAAAAAACTTCCTATAACTAAATTTTTGAAAATTATAACTAAATTGGATGGAAGAGTATCCACACTAATTTATTTCGTATCCATAATAAAAAAAGGGGAAAAACGTAATTTAGCTGGGTAATTTTATAATTATATATGGTATAATAATTATATTATTGGCAAAGTTAAAAAGATAAAAAAATAATATAATTAGAATATTATGTAGTATTATAAATTTATAATTAAAACATATTATTATATAATTAATTTATTTCATTCAAGATCTAATCTTAATATTGCATGTATTTTTTTTGATTAATGACATATAACAATTGTATATTTACAATTTTATGTGAAGGTGTTTAGTAAAGTTTAAAAAGCAATTATTTTTAAAGTATTATATTTCTCTCATAAATTTAAAATTTTGTTAAAATTTTATTAGAAAAAAATTTAAAAATTAACCTTTTAAATGAATTT